TTTTAATTGGACATTAAGTCTGAGCAGAATTGAGCTCTAATCACTGTTTGGCTTCACATAGATTTGTTGATATAAGAAAAATATTATGGGTTTTTCAATCTTTCAGTGCTGTATTTATTTATTTTTTGTATTTGAGGTTATTGATATTCACAAGTTGGTTTTAGAGCAACATAATACTCTCGCTAGCATGCTGAGTAATTGAAAGCCTCTTGTGCTTTGTAGCTTGGCTTTTAAATAGGTCAAAACCAGCAGGAAAGCTTCATAGCCAAAGCAGTTAGGTTTTTAACCCTTTGCTCCATATGCTTGGTAGGCACTAGAGCATGATAATGGCTCCACTAATAGGCTGCTGCGTGTCATGGGCTGCCATTAGGAGCCAGGAGTTTTTCAGTTTTCCAGGGTTCTGTACTTGCAACTGAAACCTTCCTGTATGAGAGTTATGGAATCATCATATGCAAAGAGAGAGGGGGCAGTTCGGGGTTGGACTGGCCTGGTATTAGGGCAGGAGACTGCCAGTAGTACTGGGATCCTGCTGTTAGGTCAGTGATTTGGGGCCTTATCTGGGCATTCACTTAGGAAGAGTTATACATCACGGAGGACAAGTGCCCAATAGCATTTGGAAAGAGGTAGGAAATTGAAATGTTCTTCTATTGCAAACCACCTCCATCATTTCATGATAGAAAAGAATTGTTAAAAGTAGCTACATCAAATTGTATGGTGGTGCTGATAATGATTTGCTGTAACCAGCAAGTTCCTTTTGGCAGGGTTTCTGCAATATATAGAAGGTAGACAAAACAGCAAGGAACAAGTTAATCATCTGAGGTTAAGGGTAATTTAAATCAGGATTTGGGTTGTTAATGGCACTGTGTGTAATGCATAGATTTGTACAAACAACCCTTCCCCCACCCTGGGCCTACATGATCTTCCTGTTTACAGTAATCCTGTTTCTCTGGGATTACCTTTCTCTTCACAGAGAGACTGAGCAGTACTCATTTTTCCAATAGTTTCCTATTTGATGTAGGAAAGGCTTTCTAAATCCAGTATCATGACTGGATATCAGAGAGTGGTTTTGTGTTAATGGTCTGTCCAGGCCAGAGAGGTGATAGATGGGTAAATCAGTAAATTAGTTATAACTTCAGAATGTTGGATGAGACTTTAATAAAAGGCAGAAATAGGAATTATTTCCATGATAAAGAGTGCCTGAACTGATCAAATTGTACCAAAACCCGTGGTGTCTCAGTTACTTTTTTTTTCAGTTTTTCCAATAAATGAAAAAATATACTATGGTAATTACAGAGATGTTTATTCATATGTAGGCCAATAATCAAGTTTCCACTGTTAATGAAGTGTTAAGACAATGCCGAGTGCTGACTCCATTATTTAGTTGTAATTAGCTTATAGTTGTGAGAGAGTGCTGAGAAGAGGTAATTACTGAAATGAAATCTGTGCAGAAGAAAACACTACGATTTCCAGGGATTGTTCCCACACACACAAACATTTCCTTTTTCTTTATTCCAGTCCCTGCACCCCAGCGAAGTGACCATTTATGTCCCAGTTTGAGCAGAGACAAAGCAGCATTCAAAACTGCTAGACTAAAGAGAATACTGTGTAGGAAGCCAAATAGATATTGGTCAAAGATTTAGCTAGCAAAGTGGGTAAGTGCTTCTCAGTGGGGGAAGATCATATGTGAAGAAATAGAACTTTTTGTCATGTATCTTCTGCCATGTCCATTCCCAGTAGGCCGCTAGCAAGCAGTTCCTTGAAGATGTTTCCCCCTCCTACTATCTAGGATCTACTTAACCTGTTCAACAGAAGGAATAGGGACTTGTCTCCTGCTTGAAAGGTCACCTTTGCCATGTTTGCAGAGCATGCTCCTTGCTTGCTGCTGTTTCTCCCTGCTGCCTCCCAGCCCTGATCTCCTTATAGATGCAGCACCATGGCAACAGGCCCAGTGCTGAGCAGGCTGGGCACGCCAGGAGCCTTGTTTGTGTCACCTGAGGAGCAGGATGCAGTGTGAAGGATGAAGAGAAGGGATATTACTCAGCCTGTGTGGTCGCAGTGGCTTTTCTTCTTGCTAAATGTTCCTGCCTGGCTTGAAATTCGTCTGAAACTTCTAACCAAGGGCTTAAGATAAAGCACCTGCTGGATTTTGTGCATTCTTCTTCTGCACACTTGGGATTGCTTTTCTGAGATGTAGCCCAGAAAAAGAATTTGGGGAGAGGGGGGATTCAGACATGTGGCACCGCTATGATTTGGGGGTGCGCTGCTAAGTGGCTGTACAACTGCTTCATGTAGGTGGGCTTGACTGATAGGAGTAAGGGTTCTTCATCTGTTTAACCGTAGGTTGATTAAAAATATGGTTGCTTACGCAGGATGTGCAAAAAGTTGTCCTCTCTCCATTGTATATCTTCTCTTCACTTTTGACCACTCTAGGTTCTCCTTCTGCTGTGAGAAGCTGAGGCTGGAATTAGCTGTGGGCTCGCTCAGCCCAACATTATTCACGACAGTAACTTCTGCTGGAACAGGCATTGCTGAGAGTTTGGGATAAGGACAGTAGCCAAGTGATCTCAGTAGTGCTTTCTTTAGAGGAGAAATTAGAGAGAGGATTTTGCATAGATAATATTAAAGTAGTGTATTGTGGTGTTTTTATCTTAGACTTGCCCAACGTAATTGCAGCAAGTGTTCAATTATACATGGCTGAGGTTTTAGATTTGCGTTGGTACAAGCTGCTACCGTGTAACCCGTTATAACAAATCACAGTACAGCCAAAGCACTTGTACAAATGCTGTCGTTTTGCATTTGAAATCAATGTTTTTGTAATATCCCTCTCATGAAAGGCAGTTGTTTCCTCCGTTTAGGTCATTTAATATATATAATGGAAACAACAGCCTCTCTGAGAATGTCTAAAAAAAAAAAAAAAAAAAAAAA